ATTCCCTAATCCATTCTCAATCCCACTGTCCCAGAGGACTATTTCATTTCTTCTCTCTTCTCACACCCCTGAAATTCTCCGTCCTCATTCTCAGCTGATGACCTTATTTTCTACCTCACCAAGACACATGAAGCCTAGAAGAGAGCTTTTACCACCACTACATCTACTGGAATACTGGCATCTGTTCCCTTACACTCAGCTGGCCTGTGTGTTAACTTACCCATTGGTGACTTATCCATGCTTCCAACTCGATTCCATCTCTACCCACCCCCACCCACCATCACCATTTCCCTCCCTATTGTGTAATTCCCATCAGTATGTAAACACGTTGTAATTCCTCCAAATTTAAATAGACTTCTCTTGACCACAATTCCTCCAACAGCTTTCCCTATTTATTTGTTTCTGTTTGCAGCAAATTCCTTAAAATAATTGATTGTACCCTGTCTCCAGTTCCTATTCTCCCAGTCTCTCTCCAGCTCTGCTGTGGCTTTTCCCACTATCATTCCATCATACCGTGCTTTTCTGGGTCACCAATGACTCTGACACTGCTCCATGCAAGGATGGATCCTCAGTCTTTATCTCCACCTCGATGCACTTTCTTTCCTTGGCTTCTGAGTACTGAACTCCCCAGGTTTTCCTCCTACCTCAGTGGTCATGGGCTGGAGTGCAGTGGCGCTATCATTGCTCACGGCAGCCTCGAATTCCTGGGCTCAAGCATTCCTCCTGTTTCAGCCTCCTGAGTAGCTGGGACCACGGGCACACATCATCATGTCCAGCTAATTTTTAATTTTTTTGTAATGATAGAATCTCACTATGTTGCCCGGGTTAGTCTTCTTTCAAGCTTTTTTTTTTTTTTTTTTTTGCCATCTGATGTTACCAGTTGGTTCTGACCAGGTTGGTCTTGAACTCCTGGGCTCAGACGATTCTCCAGCCTCGGCCTCCCGAAGTGCTAGGATTACAGGCATGAGCCACTGCTTTGGACCTAAATTTTTTTTAAATTTAAAGAGCACTATCTATTTTTTGAATAGATAAAACACCTACATGGTTAAAAATTTGAAAGATCAAAACAACATACAATGATAACTTTTCCTTCCACTCCTATGTCCCCGCCAGAGACCACCAATATTTCTTGTATATCTTTCCAGTGATCTTTTATACACACGTAAGTGATATATACCTACTCCTGTTATGTATACAAATAGTAGCATTTTATTTTATTTTATTTCTTTCTTTTTTTTTTTTTTTGAGACGGATTTGAGGTCTCGCTGGGCCTCCCAGGCTGGGAGTGCAGTGGTTGTGATCTCGGCTCACTGCAAGCTCCGCCTCGCCGGGGCACGGCCATTCTCCGCGCCTCAGCCTCCCAAAGTAGCTGAGACTACAGGCGCCCCCACCACGGCGCCGGCTAGTTTTTGGTATTTTAGTGAGAGACGGGGTTCTCACCGATATTAGGCCAGGATGGTCTCGATCTCCTGACCTCGTGATCCACCCGCCTCGGCCTCCCAAAGTGCTGGGATTACAGGCTTGAGCCACCGCGCCCGGCATAATTTCTTTCATTTTTGTGGCAGAGCCTTGCTGTGTCACTCAGGCTGGAGTACAGTGGTGTGATCATAGGTCATTGCAGCTTCGACCTCCCAGGCTCAAGCCATCCTCCCACCTCAGTCTCTCAAGTAGCTGGGACTACAGGCTCGTGTCACCACCCCCGGCTGCAAATGGAAATGGTAGCATTTTATACATAACATTTTATACATTCTGCATCTCACTTGTTTTCACTTAGCATGCCGTCGGTGGTAAGGATTGAGTGGTTACGTTGTATTTCATCATTTGGATAGTCCGTAATTTACCTGAAACTTTGGTACCAGATACCTTTCAGAATGCAGGATTCCAATATTTTGTTATTATAAACAATGCTGCAATGACTAACCTACATGTGCCATTTATTTCATATGTGAGAAAATGTGGGCTAGATTCCTAGAAGTTGAATTGGTGAGTGAAAAGGCATATGCATTGGTAATTTTGGTTACCTGTCACCGAATTGCTCTCCGTAGGGTTTGTACCAATATACCTTCCAAAAAGCAATGTGTGAGAGTGATTCTTTCTCTACGTTTTCAGCAACGTAATATATTATTTTTGCCAATCTTACAGGTAAAAAGATGGCATTTTATTTAAATATTTTCCTTATTATGAGTGAAGTTAAGCCCCAAAGCCTCAAAGCAATTTATGTTTTCTTTTCTGTGAACCATCTATTCACAGATCATTGGTTTTGTCTGTATTTTCCAATTCCAGTGTGCTTTCAGAATAAGACACACATGAGTTTGGGGCAGGGGAGTGGGAATGAGAAGGTCAGAGGAGTCATCTGTCTCTCCTGGGAACTCCTCCGATTATTAAAATAAGAATAAGAGGGCTGGGTGCTGTGGCTCGTGCCTGTAATTCCAGCCCTTTGGGAGGCCGAGGTGGGCAGATCACTTGAAGTCAGGAGCTCAAGACCAGCCTTGTCAACATGGTGAAACGCCATCTCTACCAAAAGTACAAAAATTAACTGGGCATAGTGGCAGGCGCCTGTAATCCCGGCTACTTGGGAGGCTGAGGCAGGAGAATCTCTGGAACCTGGGAGGTGGAGGTTGCAGTGAGCTGAGATCAGGCCATTGCACTCCAGCCTGAATGACAGAGTGAGACTCTGTCTCAAAAAAAAAAAAAAAAAAAAAAAGAAAAAAGAAAAAAGGATAAGGGAACCAGATTCTTAGTTTCCCAGGAGTGTTAGAGATAATACGGTTCAGGCCAGGTGTGGTGGCTCACACCTGTAATCCCAGCACTTTGGGAGGCTGAGGCGGGTGGGTCATCTGAGATCAGGAGTTCGAGACCAGCCAGGCCAACATGGCAAAACTCTGTCTCTGCTAAAAATACAAAAATCAGCCAGGCATGGTGGTGCATGCCTGTATGCCTAGCTACTCAGGAGGCTGAAGCAGGAATCGCTTGAACTCAGGAGGCAGAGGTTGCAGTGAGCTGAGATCTTGCCACTACACTCCAGCCTGGGCAGCAGAGCAAGACTCTGTCTCAGAAAATAAAATAAAATAAAATAAATAAATAAATAAATAATATGGTTCAGTGGCTTTTTGTTTATTTGTTTTGTTTCTACTACCCTCATCTCCTCCACTCCACTCCAGTCCCTGGTAGAATGCTGAAGGTGCTTCACTTCTGAAAACATTTCTAATCATTAAAAACCTGGAATAAATGTATACTCCTCAAGTGTATTACACAATGTTGCTGTATGCTTCTGTGTAGATTGTGGGAAAAAGTTTCTTATGTCATTTCTGCCCATACAGGTCCACATTCCTGAAATCCAAAATGATCTAAAAATGGAAAGTGCTTTTGTAAGTTGGGCACTAAAACTTATTTAATGGCAAAATCTGACCTGAATGGATGGGTAGCTATTTAGAATTTTTTTAAAAAATTAATCTCACTTATTATGAATATTTAAATATTTTTGTAAAGAATTATTAATCTATTTTATTATAGGGTGCTGCTCTGGACCATGCTGGTGACATCCCATAATACAGAGTGTATTACATTGTGAAATCTATAGAATCTTGAATATTGAACAGCACTTGGCTCTGAGAGTGTCACATATTGGACTGTGGACCTGCATTTGGGCTTATAAACTCATCACTTCGGCTGGGCATGGTGGCACATGCCTGTAATCCCAGCTACTTGGGAGGCTGAGGCATGAGAATCCCTTGAACCTGGGAGGCAGAGGCTGCAGTGAGCTGAGATTACGCCACTGCACTCCAGCCTGGGTGATAGAATGAGACTCTGTCTCAAAAAAAAAAAAAAAAAAAAATTAAAAAAAGTTTAAAAAAAAGTTTAAAAAACCCCTCATCCCTTGGGAATGGTTTAACTCTGCTGGTCTTCTTAAGCTCAGGCCTGTGTGTGCTGGGTCATGTAAAGTTGTTTAAACAAGTCTGGAACAGTCAATTGTGCAATAACATCATGATAGTGTTCTACTACAAATACTTATAATGCTTAATCCAAGTTCTGGGTCCTTTTCTGATCTTTAAAGATGTCTTAAAGAATACAAGTGATTTAACAATATTGTTAGCGATTCAACTTGGAAACAAAAATTTCATAGCACTCCTCTCCTAAGGAATATTTAGAGATTGGAAGATGAGCTGTTAAAAAAGCTGTTGTAGGCTGGGCGCGGTGGTTCACACCTGTAATCTCAGCACTTTGGAGGCCGAGGCAGGTGGATCACTTGAGGTCAGGAGTTCGAGACTAGCCTGGCCAACATGGCAAAACCCTGTCTCTACTATTAGCCTGGCAGCGGTGACAGGTGCCTGTAATTCCAGCTACTCAGGTGGCTGAGGCACGAGAGTCCCTTGAACCCTAAGGCAGAGGTTGCAGATAGCCAAGATTGCGCCACTACACTCCAGCCTGGGCAACAGAGTGAGAGTGTGTCTTGAAAAATTTAAAAAAGCTATTACATTTACAACTACGCATGTGGGAAAATCAGCATTTTCTTTATATTGTACAATCAAAACAAAACACAGACATTTATTGTTATCCATAACCCTAATTGTAAGTGTGTGCATGACCTTCATTGTTCTTGTTGCCTTCCTAAGTAAATATTTTAACAATGACCTTTCTTACAAAATATTTTTTTTTTTTTTTTTTTTTTTTTGAGATGGAGTCTTGCTGTGTCGCCCGGGCTGGAGTGCAGTGGCCGAATCTCAGCTCACTGCAAGCTCCGCCTCCTGGGTTTACGCCATTCTCCTGCCTCAGCCTCCCAAGTAGCTGGGACTACAGGCGCCCGCCACCTCGCCCGGCTAGTTTTTTGTGTTTTTAGTAGAGATGGGGTTTCACCGTGTTAGCCAGGATGGTCTCGATCTCCTGACCTCGTGATCCGCCCGTCTCAGCCTCCCAAAGTGCTGGGATTACAGGCTTGAGCCACCGTGCCCGGCCTACAAAATATTTTTATATAAAATAAATACAACTTTTGACTCGTTTTGCACGCTGGCATTTCTCATAAAATTTTATTTGGAAAAAGTTATATTCAATGACCCAATGGTATAAAAGTGGAAAAGGAAAGTGACAGCTAGAGATTGATAACTACATCCTCTGCAATCCTCGGAAGAAAGAAAGGGCCTCTTTGGGTTGTTTCAGGTAAAGTACGTCAATGGGACTATAGGAAAGAGAATTTCCACACTGTCTTTCTGCATCAGTGATTTTAATAGAGACTCTTAGTGGTTATCAACAACTGGTCAGTTTTTTTTTTTTTTTTTTCGCACTGCTCTCTGGATTTGGACCTAGCGAATTCTGGGCTCAGTCCTCTTCCTCCATCTCTTTCTTGATCCAATCCACGTAGTTGAGCACTTTGGTGTAGAAGCCATAGCCCCTGCTGCACCCGATGCCCCAGGACACGATGCCCGTTGCCATCCAGCGATCAGTGTTTGGGTCCCTTACTGCAAAAACGCCCCCACTATCCCCCTGGCAGGCATCCTGCTTTAGAGACGGGTGCCCAGCACAGAACATGTTTTGAGAGAACACATCCATCCTATTCTTTCCCCGGAGCCAGGTCTCACAGTCCTCTCGATTAGCTACGGGCAGACGGACAAACCTGAGGTCGTGAGCAATCTTCTCCTCCATGACCCCAAAGCCACTGACATAGCCCATCAAGCCCAGGTCATAGAAAGTCTCGTTGTCAGGGAGGCAGATGGGGAGGAGGTTGGGACCCAGGGTAACACTATTTTCCAGCTCCAGCAGGGCGATGTCCCCCTCAAAATTGTGGGACTCATCCTGACGGTAGTCCGGGTGGATGCTGACCCTGCGGATGGGGTGATTGGCCAGTTTCATGAGCTCTTCCACATTTGTGTGGCCCAGGAACACATCCAAGGAGGCGTTGCTTTGTGCCTCGTGTTCCTTGGGATACAGGGTGTGGGCAGCCGTAAGAATCCAGCGGTCGCCCAGCAGGGCTCCACCCCCTCGCCCATGAATGTTGGTGAACACCTGCCAGGGGAAGTTGCCCATCTTGGCTTTTTGCCCTCCGATGATGCGCTGCCTCTGTTCCACGGGGTTCACGGGCTTCCCACACACTGAGGGAGAGAGAGGGAAGACAAGGGCAAGTCAGCTCCAGGTCCCATACCTCTTCCCTCTGTGGCCAGCCAGCTCCGTATTTGCCCTCTCTTTTTGGCTTCTGTCTCTTTTCTCTTTCTCCTCCCATCCCCACACCTCCGTCATTGGCCTATTGACAGGCTCCTCTCCTTGTTCTTTTTTTTTTTTTTTTTAATTATTACTTTTATTTTTTGAGACTCCTTGCTTTGTCGCCCAGGCTGGAGTGCAGTGGCGTGATTTCAGCTCCCTGCAACCTCCGCCTCCTGGGTTCGAGTGATTCTTGTGCCTCAGCCACTCAAGTAGCTGCGACTATAGGCATGTGCCACCATGCTTGGCTAATTTTTCTATTTTTAGTAGAGGCTGGGTTTCACCATTGTTGGCCAGACTGGTCTCGAACTCCTGACCTCAGGTGATCCGCCTACCTTGGCCTCCCAAAGTGCTGGGATTACAGGTGTGAGCCACCACGTCTTACTCCTTGTTCTTGTTTATTTCTTCCTAGGATGTCTCCCATTGTTTTTATTCTCTGATTTCCCATCTGCTTAGTGAAAATGCTGGCATTTCGGGATTGAATTCAGCACTCTTCCCCTCTCTCTCTTTCTCCTGGTATGTTCCCCTCTCTTCTCCTCTGTCTCCTTTTTCTGGGCCACACTGCTTTTGAGGCCCTGCAGGCTGCTAAAGGCCCTGAGGGTTGCCCCAGAGGGTTTCCACTCACCTGGCAAGCACCGAGGAATCTTCTCTCCCTTTTGTTCATTCTTCCAAATGCCCTGTGCTGTGCAGGTGTACAGCCCTGAAGGCAGAGGAGGCAAGAATCAAGTTGGGAGGTGATGGGTAAGAAAACTAGGTTGCAGAGGCCAGCAAGTACTGAGTGTGCTCGATAGGGAGAGGGGTAGGGAGGAACAACATGGTAAGGGCCAAAGGTCAAAGGCTCAACTCTAGAAGGAAAAAATGTCGAGTGTTCAGAGGCTCTAGACCTATATTTTGTTTTAATGTCAAGTAAAAAAATCGGAATGCTTAACCATTAATATATGTTTGCTGTGATCCCTGTTTGTGAAAGTAGACATAAAAACCAGAAGGAATATATCAAAATCTTATCAGTGATTGCATCTTAGTTGTGGAATCATAGATGATAATTGTAGCTACGTCTTCTGATTGCTGAAAATGTGCCATGCTTGTTGCTAAGCACTTTATCTGCATGATCTCATTTAACCACTACAGTGACACTTGCAGGTGTGTGTTATTACCCTCACTGTGGATGAGGAAGCTGAGCTTAAATATTTTGCACAGGGTCACATAACTTCTGAGTGCCAGAACCAAGGTGCAAGAAGTTTTCTGACTCCAAAGCCCAGCTCTTAATGAATACCATTTATAATCCAGATTTTTTTCCTTTTTTCTGTGTTTCAAACCTATAATGCATGTGATTTCTAATATTTAAAAAAAGTTTGAAAAATACCCAATAATGAGTGAGAGTCATTTAGTAAAACTAGGTGCAAAAATCACAACCAGGTTTAGAGGGGAGAATGGAAAGGGGAATTTCACTGAGTTAGCTGTAGGGCTTATGATGGTGATGAAGATTGTGGTGTTGTTGTTGGTGTTGGTGGTGACTGTGGTGTTGATGTTGGTAATGGTGGTGGTGATTGTGGTGTTGATGTTAGTAATGGTGGTGGTGATTGTGGTGTTGGTGTTGGTGGTGACAGTGGTGTTGTTAATGGTGGTATTGTTAATGGTGACAGTGGTGATGGTGGTTTTGGTGGTGATGATGGTGTTGGTACTGGTGGTAGTGATGATAGTGTTGGTAATGGTGATGGTTGTAATGGTGGTGGTGGTGAAGGTGGTGATGATGTTGGTAATGGTGGTGTTGGTGTTGGTAATGGTGGTGGTGCTGATAGTGGTGTTGGTAATGGTGTTAGTAATGGTGGTGGTTATAATGGTAGTTGTGATGGTGGTATTCGTAATGGTGATAGTGATGATAGTGGTGGTGTTAGTGTGGTGGTGATAGTGGTGTTGGTAATGGTGATGGTAGTGTTGGTGTTGGCAATGGTGGTGGTTGTGATAGTGGTGTTGTAATGGTGGTGGTGATCATCGTAGTGTTGACAATGGTGTTGATTATGATGATGGTGGTGATGGTGGTGTTAGTGTTGGTGGTGATGAGGATGTTGGTAATGGTGATGGTGGTGATGATGGTGTTGGTATTGGTGGTGGTGTTGGTGTTGGTAATGGTCATGGTGATAGTGTTGTTGGTAATGGTGGTGGTGATAATGGTAGTGGTGATGGTGGCATTGGTAATGATAATGGTATCGATTGTGGTGATGGCGATGATGGTGGTGATTGTGCTGGCATTGATGCTACTGGTAGTGTTGCTGGTGTTGTTACTAGTAGTAGTGGCGATGGCAGTGATGGTAGCAGTGGGAGTGTGGTGGAGGCAATGGTGGTAGTGGGGACGATGTGGTGACAGTGAGCTGTTTATGCGATTTGAATCTTTTCTTCGCATCAGCTCAGATGCCTCCTTCTTCAAACTTACAAGGTTCCTGTTAGCACTATAATTTAGGCCCCTATAGCCAGTGTCCTGGCAGATACCTTAATATGCATTCCCTAGGGATTCTACTGGGAGAAATCTCAGAGGATACCCCAAGGGGATGGAAGGGAGGAAATTTCCATTTGCATTGGTTCCTACCTTGCTCAGACTCCTTGCTGCCAGCTCTGGTCTGCATCTTGTAATATGGCTCGTGGCAGTAGTACTGGATACGTGCCTTGTAGGTGTTCACCCCCATTGTGGTGGTATAACGGAAGGCGCCATTAGGCAGGTTTCGGGGCTGCCCACAGTCCTTGACTTGGAGAGAACACAGGGCAGGGTGAGAGCTGAGAATGACTGTGCTGGAACTTCAGTGCGGGGAGTGTGAGTTGTCCACCCGCAGAGCAGGCTGAGAAGCTTAGAAAAGATAGTCAGTGGAGAGGGCCCTTGCAATGGACAGGAGTTGGGTGGCGTGAAATTCAGTTCTGGGTAGAGCCCATCCATCCTGCTGAGATGAGGGCTCACCGATTCCTGAGATGGGCCATAGGCATCAAAGGACAAGTCAGGGTGAGGGTCTCTTGGAAAGAGGCTTACTCTGGATGCCTCCTTCTTTCTTGGCCCAGGTCCTCAAGGCTGGAGGTGGGAAGTCCCCAGGGTCATATCCCTGAATTATGACTTACTCTTGCATCTGGGCATGGCACGATGCCATGTGCCATCATCCTGGCAGACAGCTGTGAAGGAGTGCAGCACCTGGTTCCCCTGTTGAGCAGAGGACAGAGGTGTCATCAGTGCCAAGACGCAATGCAGGTCCCCTTGCTGCCCTTCCCACACTGGAGTGGGAGGCAATACAAAGACATCTCTCAGCTCCCCGATGACTGTGGCTTCCCCATGGATGTGGCTCCTTCTTCCTTCTCCCCAGCCTGTTGCAGACAGGAGTGCTGAGCTACCCTGCAGCAAGTCAGAGCGGGACTAATTGATAGACCCGATCATCCTCTCTCTAGACTGTGGCCTGTTCCCACTGAGGTCCAATTGAATCCCACAATTTGTAATTAAAAACATCACAAGCCACGTTTGAGTGTTTTTTGTATCAAAACAAAAGCCTGTGCTCCAGGGCAGAACCATGTTTCTCTGGCTGGAGTCCCCTGCCTCCAGGCCTGCAGCACTTTCTCTCTCCTGGGTTGCAGTTTTCCTAAGGACAGAGGCCTTCCCTGAAATCCTAGAGCCACCTCACTCCTTTGAACGGTGCTGGAGACGTTGATGTATGTGAAGTGCTGTTGCTGTTGAGCAGGGACAAGACTAGGAAATGGCAGTCTTTGAAATGAAAAGTTACTGGACAATATGAATGAGTTTTACTAAGACCAAAAATTGGCCAAGTGTGGTGGCTTACGCCTGTAATCCCAGCACTTCCGGGGGCCGAGATGGGCGGATCACTTGAGGCCAGGAGTTCGAGACAAGCCTGGGCAACATGGAGAAACCCTGTCTCTACTAAAAATACAAAAATTAGCCGGGCATGGTGGCACACGCCTGTAATTCCAACAACTCAGGTGGCTGAGGCACTTGAATAGCTTGAATCCAAGAGAATCACTTGAAATTGGGAGGCGGAGTTTACAGTAAGCTGAGATCATGCCACTGCCTGGGTGACAGAGCAAGACTGTCTCTCAAAACCAAAACAAAAAGACCAAAAATCATTCCATAGAGTTAGCCCTGGGAAAGATTGCAAGAGAATGTGTATGCGAACTAGACCGTCTGAGTAAAATGCAGGTAATGTGAGAAACGGTGTGACTTGCTTTAAATTCTATGATGTGAATGACAAATGCAAAAGTAAGGGCAGTGGGTGGTGCAGGCAAGGGAGGGTTGTAATATGAGCAAAGAGGTTGTTGGTCTCCAGTCTTCCGGACCCAGGACACCCACCCAATCCTCCTGATGGAGATGGAAGCACCTTGGAATAAAGAACAATGTATCAGGTGAACTCGACTTGATGCAACATTCAAATGTGAGCTCCACAAAGGCTGTGTGACTTTGTGGGTTTCTTTTTACTGAACCTCCCACATCTAGGACAGTGCCTGACAGTAGACCCTTAAAATGTGCATTATGAATTAACTATGACTTAAGGACATGTCATAGGTCTCTTCTTTGATTCTCATTAAGTCTTCCGTGTGGACCTATTGAGCAATTGGGTATCTATTTGGCAACGATTTAGGGATGGCCAGCTTGGTCTCTGTCACAGAGAGATCAGAATTAATTTTTAGTTTTATCCTATAAGCTTTGTGAGATTGATCTCATATTGGATAATTATCCTTATTCTTTTTTTTTATTCCTTGCTGAAATCTGCAGAGCTGAAGGACAGGACGGTGGGCCCAGGCTGAGCCACCCACATGTGTGTATTTATATTAGTATGCCCTGGAGCAGGTAGTCAGTTGAGATTGGGTCCTAGTTTCCCTGCCGTAGAAATATCACTATGTGAATTGTTTGATTTGAGTCACCGACATCTCCACCTCTTGTTGCTTTTCCAGTTCTTCAGCTTTCTTTGTAATTATTGGACGTTATTGCTGCAATTAAGTTCTTTTAAACTTGGCTGCACGTAGAATTCATCTGGTAGCTTTAAAATAGCTTTGTTGCCAGTTGCTACTTCCATTGATCTATTGTTGATGATGTCCTTCTGCTTTTGTGTTGGCCCTTGACTTCCATGTATTTTTGTATTTGGATTGATTGATTTTTTATTTTTAGAACAGAGTCCTGCTATATTGCTCAAGATGGAGTGCAGTGCTATTCAAAGGGGCACTTGAATGATTGTCCTCAAGCAATCTCCAGGATCGTAAACTCTCTGCTTTAAGGTGGGCAGCAAGTTTTTGTGTAGTAGCTGTTTTGTGTATTATTTCCTAGTGTTATGACTTTCTTTCTTTCCTCTCTTATTCTTTATAATGCCTATGAACTTCCAGCTGGGGTGAAGACTAAAATCCTTCCTGTGCCACCATCTGAATTCCCCTGGAATGCCCTGGCTGGCTCTTCTCCCCCTCACCTGGCCCTTTACCTCTATGAGCCTGGTTAGCCCTTAGCTTGCAGTAGCAATGAAAGAAGTCACGGAAATTGGGTAACTGAGGCTGCCGGTTCTGGGATGACCGGGAAACTCGTCCTAGGGCTTGGGGCTGGGACCTTGAATGACTTATTTGGGGGAGACAGAAGGGTTAATTTGCGAAGCCACCCTCTTCTTCTTCCCCTTTTCTCTCATGCCTGGCCATTGAGGGAGACCCCAGGAGCCCTTATCTCTGTGGGGTGTAGCCGCAGCTTTCCAGCCGGCTGTCCGACTTCCATTCTGTGAAAAAACAGCAGATCCACCAGCATTGTGCTGCTGGGTTCCAAGTTGGGGCGCCTGTTGCTTCCCACAGAAATCGCCAATGTTCCTCCCGTTTGGCCAATAAGATCCTGGGTAAGGGAGGGAGGATTTTGTTTTTTGTTTTTGGTTTTTTTTCCACTTGGAATTTTACACAGGGCCCAACTGCGTAAGTAGCCCTTGGGTGGCCAGGGGTGGTGGTGGGTTGGACTTGAAATCCTGCCTTTTATGCCCGCGTTTGTTTTCAAGTGGGAAGTGGAAGGGGATCCCCAACGACCCAAGTCCCAGTTTGTATTATGGAACTTTGCCCAGCCCCATGGGTTGGAATGTTTGCCAATCCGCCCCAGCAGGCCCAGGGGATCCAGGAGGAAGTTGGACAAGAAGGACCAAGTGCAGACGGAAGGGGGAGGGAAGGGGTTTTCCAGGGGTAGCCGGCCTGTACACCTGGTAGCTGGTCATAGGGTGGGCATTGACTTTGCTGGGGTGGTCCATCAATTTTCCCAAAAAGGCCTTCTAGGGAACTTCTGAGTGCAGGGTGAGGCCGCCCTCCCACCCGGATGGCTTGTATGTTTGCAAGCGAAGGGTCCAGGGGGGGAAGGGACGGGGTACTCTCAGGCATTGGGAGTATGTAGGCCGATGCCTCCGTGGTAAGCCCTCTACTGCCTGCACTCAGCTGTGAGAACAGAGCCCCAAGGGCATCACGGGGCGCTCCTGGGGCTGGCCCCAGCAGCCCGGGGCTGAACTCCCTGCCTCTGTCCACCACTCCTGGCTCACCCTGGGCAGTATGCCCTTTCCT